GGAGACTTAATGGGATGAGGAGAAGGAGGTCAGCTAGGAGGCAGTTATGGCAGTCTCGGAGTTGGACTAAGTTGGAGACCAGCTGAGAGATGTCAGCCTGCTTGGAAGTGGCCAGGTTGTCATGAAGGGGAATAGATTCTCCACCACTGAAAGAAGCTGGCTTTTTCTGTAAAACAGAGTCCCACAAAGGATCCCACAAAAGAGAAATTCACTATGACTAATGCCTTTTTTGCCTTTTCGTTTCATTCTTCTCTTTGAGATGGGGTCTTGCTATATTGCTCAGGCTGGCTTCAAACTTTTGGGACCTAGTGATCCTCCTAGCTGAAATTAACAGTACTCACCATCACTCCTAGCTCCAACTAAAGGATTTTGTTTGTCTGTTTGATTGGTTTCTGGAGACAGGATCTCACACAGGCCAGCCTTGTCTGGAACTGTCTACGTAGCTGGGGATAACTTTGAACGTCTGGTCCCCCTGTTCCACCTTTCCAGTGCTGCAATTCATTACAAGAGTATGCTAGCTTTTCCCCCTTTATGAGAGTTTGCCTGAATATATGTCTGTGTGCCACATGCAAAGCTGGTACCCACAGAGACCAGAAGACAACATTGATTCCCTGAAACTGGAATTATAGATGGTTGTGAACCATGTGGGTGATGGAACTGAACCTAGGTCCTCTACAAGGACAAATGCTCTTAACCCCTGAGCAATAATTCTAACCCCCTACATTTTTAAGAGGGTTATTTATATTTGAATGTACTAGTTCTTGTGGTTCTTGTGCTGGGCATTACAAAAGAAGAGAGAGGGTATGAGGGCAGGTGGGCCAAGGTGGGAGCATCAGGACATAGGCTACTACAACAGTCCAGACAGGAAATCATTGCCACACCTGAGATGGCCTTCCCTCTGTGAAATGTGCTGTGTACAAAGCACTTAGCACAGGCACTGATAGTAGGAAACAGTAGTTAGCTGCCATTGCCACTATTACTCCTGAAGCCTGTGAGACTACTTTTCAGAAGGCTCTTAAGAGGTTCTTGTGCCCTTAAAAATGCAAATGAAATCTTCTCATTTCTGACATTAAAACCCTCAAGGGCCTTCCCATTGTGGAATGCAGAAACTTCATACTTCTTGCCTCAGCATTCAAGGTCATTCATGGCCCGGCTCTGGCCCTTTCTGGTCTTAGTTCCTACCACTCTTTTCTCAAGCAACTCCGATGGCTTGTCACCATCTCATTTTCTCCTGCTTTCTTCCCCCTAGATTTTCCCTGTGGTAGATTTATTCCATTTCAGTTCAACTATCACCTTTCCTAATCACCCTATCTAAGGAAGAGGGCCTGCCTCTTATGTCCAGCATACCAATTTTACTTACTTCATAGCACAGGTTGTCTTAGGGCTGGGTATAACTCAGTGGCAGAGAACGTGGCTAGCATGTGTGAGGCCCAGTCTAATATTTTTTGTTGTTTGTTTTTTGAGACAAGGTGTGTGTGTGTGTGTGTGTGTGTGTGTGTGTGTGTGTGTGTGTGTGTGTGTGTGTGTGTGTGTGTGTCTGTCTATCTGTC